ATTCTACTAGGGGGTGACTTTAATGAGATTTGCATAGTGATGAGATTGAAGGAGGGGCTGCTAGAGTGAGAAGGGAAATCCCCAAGTTTCGTGAAGTTATTATTGATTGTAGTCTTCGCAATTTGGGCTTCGATGGCTGTTGGTATACGTGAAAGAGGGGCAATTCAACGAAAACTTGAGTCAGGGAGCGGCTAGATCGCTTTATCGCATCAAACTCTTGGTGCAATATTTTTTCTGATTTTTTTGTGGAGCCCAGCCTGAGGTGTAAGTTAGATCATACGGAAATTATTCTCCATCATCGCCAGGGTAATAAGTGCAAGAAAAGAAGGAACAAAACCTTCAGATTTAAGACTAACTAGCTTCTTGATGACACATGTGAAAAAACCATGAAACAAGCATGGGATGACTCTGCTGGCGATTCTATCATGATGAGGCTTGCTTCAGTTGCTAAGGGGTTGGGTAAGTGGAGTAAAGAAAAATTTAACAAGCTTGATATACAAATCTCAGACACCGAAACAGCCCTACATGAAGCTCAAAAAAGGAGGGTCTCGAATCGAAGTGTTGAGGAATGTGCTAGACTTGAGAAAAAACTTGATGATTTAAATGAGAAACTCGAGGCTTACTGGTATATTCGAGTGGCAGAGGTTAGAGATGGCGATAAGGATACCAAATACTTTCATCACAAACCTTCTCATCGAAAGAAGAGGAACTTTATTAATGGAATTCTTGATGATGGTGAGGTGTGGTAGACGGATGAGGATAAAGTTGAAAATATTATCACTCGCCACTTCGAGGCCCTATATTCGTCTTCTGATCCCCAAGACAATACGATTGAAGAGGTTCTCCGGAATATTGACCCATGCATTTCATCCGACATCAATACCGAACTCACAAGACCCTTTACGAAGGATGAAATTCTTGCCGCCTTAAAGCAAATGCAACCTTGCAAAGCTCCTAGCCCTGATGGTATGCACGCCATTTTCTATCAACGATTTTGGCACATTGTCGGAGATGAGGTAACTGCTTTTATTAGTAGTATTTTACATGGCTCCACTTCTCCTAGTTGTGTTAATAACACTAACATTCACTACCACAAAATAGGCAATAGAGGACGCCTGAAATAGGCAATAGAGAACCCATGAGAGGCGTCCTTCAAGTGTGGTGCCTTATAAAGTATACAAGGCGCCTCTTTGAGGCGTTCTATATAATGTACAATAGAGAATTTTTATCCAAGATTGGCGTTTCCAATTCTATGTACAAAAAATATTAAAAAATAGTAAATAGAACGCCTACCTCAGGTGTTCTATAGAAAAAGAGAACGCCTATCTCAGTTAACAGTTCTCTTTTCCTTAATTATTTTAAAAAAAAAAATTAGAAAAAACTAAATATTTATAGGGAAATGCAAAAGTTTCTTATATTATTAATATTTAAATAACCAAAAATTATGCAGTTTGCCAATTCGACCTTTAATTTCAACACCCATGAAAACAATTAAAAAAGAAACTAAATCAAATAAAACTCATACACTAAATAAAAAGTCTTACCTTTTTTAATAGAGTACGTACAATTTAAGCAAACTATAATGGAGAAACATGAGGAAAAAAAAAACCTTGCAAATTGGATCAACTAATCTTCATTTCTTCCCTGGTAAATCTGCATCAAAAGGTAAACAAGAAGATCAAGAGTTTAGGATCTAAATAACTATAACTAACATAATGAAACTAAAGCTATCTATGTTAGGTATTAAAAACTGCAAAACCAAATTAATATGCAGAATAATTAAGGAACAAATCAATTCAAGTATTTTTTTTTTTTTTTCCGTAAAACATAATACAGAGAGAAATATTCAAACTGTTCTACAAAAAAACACAAATATTGAACGCAATATCCTAAAACCCGAACTAAATGAAGTTTTTAATTTCCCTTAATATTGAAATATTCACTAATTGTGTAAATCAATCGGTAAGATAATCATTGAAATCCAAAAGTTCTCATTAATTTCAACAGTATTAGGAGATTCAAAATCTAATCGACAATTAGTGAACTCTTTCACATACTCCTAAAGTCCTAATGAACGAAAAATCAGAAGAAAAAAAAATCAACATATCCAAACAATTTAATACAATTGAATTGCAAAATCCTAATTGTAACATAATGTACAATTGTACACTAAGAAAAAAAATAGAGAGACCTGGGTTGATCTTCACCGGAAACCGTCGAACTGGGTAACAACATAGTAACTGAACGACACGGCGGAGGAGTGCGTGGAAACCGGCGAATTGAAGGAGGAGAAATCCAGCACCGATTGGTGGTGTTGAGAACGCCTATCCAACTTGTGAGTTATGTATATTGTGTTACTTTTTCTAGTTTTTGTGGTAATGATCGTCTTAATTCCTAAAAGTAAAGACCCTCGCAGTACTTCTGAGTATTGCCCTATTGCTTTGTGTAATGTTCTTTTATAAGCTTGTGTCAAAGTCCATTGTTCTACGGCTTAAATCTGTACTCCCTGATATTATTTCTAAGAACCAGAGTGTTTTTGTACCGGGGCGCTTAATTACTGATAATACCTTAATTGCTCTTGAGATTTTCCATACGATGAGGCATATAAGTAAGGGGAAGAAATGGATGATGTCTCTGAGGCTTGATATGAGTAAAGCCTATTGCAGGGTAGAGTGGGTGATAGAACAATGTCTACTACAAGAGGGGGGGTGAATGGTAGACTATAGAAAATTTTGCGGAATTAAATTATCTAGCAAGAGAGAAGACACTCGAGATAGGCAATGAATAATTTCACTATGTAAAGATGAATTACAATCGCTAATATTCAGCCTAGACTCAAGTTCCGTGAGGAACTCAAGTTTCCCAACTACGATCCCTCAATCGCCGTTTCTCACTCTTTGTGATTCTGCTCCGAATCACTTGTACAATGTGAAGAACTCTCTCAAGCCTCACACTTACAATTCTCACAACCTAATCCCAATTACAAAGTAATTACAGGATTTTCTTAATGCACTTAGAAGGATTAAAGCAGGAAGGAACTCAACACTCTTTTATATTAAAACGTGAAAGCTCTTAAACTCTATGAACTGAATGTTTTCGTTGTTGCTCCACACAAAAATCAGCTTCGTTGACAGCTTTTTATAGAGAGAATGAAAGTCTCAACCTTTCTCCCCACTCCTCCCATTATCCACGTCCAACCTTAACTCAGGAAGTTAAGAATGTTGGATGGGAAGTGGGAAGTTGGTCTCCATGACTTTCTTCTCCATGCATCAACATGAGTCCTTATTTTTAGGCAGCCGAAAATACTCAGTCAAAATCAGTTAGGAAGATATTTATTAAATGATAAATATTTATTAAAAAGGATATCTTAAAAAAGATATTTAAAAAGATAAAAACAATTAAATAATTATCTAATTTAAATAATAAACTTATCTTTTAAACTAAAGAATTATTTATTTTATTTTCAAAATAAACTTATCTTTATTTTATATTGAACAGTGACGTTTTGTTTTAATTTTTATTTTCTGTTTTATCTTGCACAATTTTTTATTCTTTCGGTTTGTACTTAATGGAACTGGCTCTGTTTTTCTTTGAAATTGGCATTTGCATTTTGGTTGCATATGATCTATGTGAGCATGCTTAATCGTTCTAGTATCCGGATTTACTACTCTCTCCTTGGTTACTCCTATGTATAGCTCGTGTTCTTTCTTTCATTTTGATAATGCCAAAAGGGGGAAGAGGAGGACAAACTCAGTAAGGCCAGACTCAAACCGATTCCATTCAAGTCTTCATCATTCAAGCAAAGGTATAAATTAACTTAAATTTCTTCCATTTTCACGAATGATGCAAACTTCTTTGCCTTAGTTTGTTTATGAAATTTCAATTTTGTTTTTTAGTTTATAATTCATTTTGTCTGGATGTTGTTTTTGTTTAACCGAGTTTGTCTTGTTTGTCATCATCAAAAAGGGGGAATATTGTTGAATTGACTACCTTAGTATTTTGATGATTGACTTAACAAAACAAACTCTGACTAATGATGTGTGTTTAAGACTTGGTTGAACAGAAGATTCAGGTACAAGCTAAATGTTCCGGAGCAGGAACAAAAGAGTTTGGAAGTCTTGACATGATATGCAAGCTTTCAAGAAAAACTTACAAGCTCCAATACTTAGAATATTTCTGCAAAGCACTTGAGAATTAAAGTGTTTGAAGGAACGCATAAGAAACTTGAAGTTCCAGAAGGAACCTGGAGTTTTTGAAGGAACTTAACATTTTAATCACAAAAGAATTTTACGTAAAACAGTTTCAAAGTCCTTGAAATAAGGAAAGAGTAAAATCAGTTTCAAAGTCCTTGAAATAAGTATTGGAGCTTGTAAGTTTTTCTTGAAAGCTTGCATATCATGTCAAGACTTCCAAACTCTTTTGTTCCTGCTCCGGAACATTTAGCTTGTACCTGAATCTTCTATCCAACCAAGTCTTAAACACACATCATTAGTCAGAGTTTGTTTTGTTAAGTCAATCATCAAAATACTAAGGTAGTCAATTCAACAGTGGGGTTTCTTGCGAAAAATGCTTCTTACTATGGGTTTTGATGGCAGATGGGTGAACCTGGTCATAGATTGTGTGTCTTCTGTTTGATTAACGAAGAAGTTTGTGGTTCGGTGCTTCCTACTAGGGGGCTCCGACAGGGGGATCCTCTTTTCCCGTATTTATTTATTCTTGTTGCTGACGTTTTTTCTAGGATGTTATAGAATAAAGTGAGTACGAAACAATTACATGGAGCTAATGCTAGTCGCAATGACCCTGAAATCTCTCATCTTTTATTTGCGGATGATAGCTTACTTTTTACCCGAGCCAACTGATAAGAATATTTAGTTGTAGTTGATATTCTCAGCCAATATGAAAGAGCATCCGACCAGAAAATTAATTATGAAAAATCGGAGGTCTCATTCAGTTATGGAGTAAGTCTTGAGCAAAGGGAAGATTTGATGAGTGTTCTAAATATGCGACAAGTTGACAGGCATGAGAAGTATCTTGGTATACCGACAATTGTGGGAAGGTCGAAGAAGGCAATTTTTGAGGCGGTTATTGACAGGATTTGGAAGAAACTCCAAGGATGGAAGGAAAAGCTATTATCTAGAGCCGGCAAGGAAATTCTTCTTAAGTCGGTTATTCAAGAAATTCCGACTTATTTGATGGGGGTTTATAAGTTCCCAAGAGACACTATTCAACGGATCCAATCGGCTATGGCTAGGTTTTGGTGGGGGTCGGATGGTTTCAAAAGGAAGACTCATTGGAGGAGTTGGGATGATATGTGCACTTTGAAATGTTTTGGGGGTATGGGATTCAAGGATCTTGGTGTTTTTAATGACGCATTGTTAGGACGCCAAGCGTGGAGACTAGTTAAGGCCTCGAACTCCCTTCTTGGCCGTATTTTTAAGGCCAAATATTATCCCCGTAGTGAGTTTCTTGAGTCTTCTCTCGGGTTTGCTGGCAGCTTTTCATGGAGGAGTATCTGGTCCTCTAAAGCTCTCATCAAAGAAGGTATAATATGGAAGATTGGGAATGGGAAAAAGGTAAACTTATGGAGTGAACCGTGGGTTGCTGACGAGGGAGGTAGATTTCTACAGAGTCTCGTGATGCCTAACTTGAACCTTGTGAGTGACATTATAAATACCGAGTGTATGGACTGGAATTATGATTTAATTGAGCAGAGCTTCAGTGATAGGGATGCCCGTTGCATACTTGCTATCCCCCTCTGTGAGCATGATGTTGAGGATGAGATCACTTGTTGGGCTTTTTCCAACGGAGGGGAATACTCGGTTAAGACAGCTTATCTCTTGGGCAAAGGATGTGACCTTGATTCCTTCCACCAAGCATGGATGGAGATATTGAAGGTTGATGTTTCTCCAAAAGTTAGACACTTCTTTTGGAGGCTCTGTACGAACACGCTTTCGGTTCGAAGTTTGATAAATCATCGTCATATGATCGAGGATGCAACTTGCCCCTGGTGCCACAATTCAGAAGAAACCCCATCCCACGCCCTGGTGGAGTGCATTCGAGTGCAAGAGTTATGGGAAGCCTGCCAGTGTATTGCTCTGACCAAGTGGAACGATTTTAATTCACTTTGTGATTTAATTGTGAGCTGGAAAGATTTGGATGCTAAAATGGTGCAAAGAGGAATGATCCTTGCTTGGTGTTTTTGGGGCGAGCGAAATTTGAAGGTATTTGAAAACAGATGCACGCCTAATAACATCCTTATTGATCGAATCAATGGGCATGTTGCAGAGCAAGGAACTTATGCCAGTCATATATATGCTGCTATTGGGCTAAAACCACCTTAGAGTCCAAATAAATGGACTGCACCTCCTTGCGGGGTGGTGAAGCTCAACGCCGACGCATCTCTTTCAGATGAAGGATGGGTTGGGTTAGGTGCTGTAGGACTCAACTCAGCTGGCAATGTGATCTTTGCATCAACAAGATGAATCTGTGCCTTTTGGTCTCCTGAAATAGCAGAAGCTAAAGCCCTTATACTTGCTTTGAAGATGGATAAGAAGCTCAAGTTGGAGGATATTATTCTTGAATCGGATTGCAAGCTCATCATTGACAAACTGTCGAAGGGTGCTGTATTTTCGGCTGATATTGGCAAGGTTCTTTGCGATATTATTCTCATGAGCTCCAGGTTTAAAAATGTCTCGTGGTCTCATGTCAAGCGTGATGGCAATTTGTGTTGCGCACTATCTAGCTAAGCTTATACCTTTTGGTACCGAGCAAACTTAGGTTAATCATTGTCCCTAAGAGGTTGCTCCTTATGTACTCATGGATCGTGCTGTTTCTAATTAATATATTTAAGCTTGGCTTGTGTTAAAAAAAAAAAAATATTCCAGATTCTCTTACGCAAATTTTTTTATTCATGTTTTTTTCTAGTTAATGTAAAATTGGTCTTATTATCCAGAAAAAAAAAGCATATCATTGGACGGATGACGTCGATAATAAATTCCATAAAGAGCAATAGTCCAATAATAATAATTTTAAATATGAAAAAAGGAAAGTGTCATCATTAATCACAAAATTTGGCACCAAAAAAAAAAAAAAAATTAAATGACCTCCTACGTGGGGGCCTACTGGCTTGATGGGTTGCGGTGATCTGTCGGCTGTTGTCTAATTCATCTATTCTTTGTCTCTTCTTCGTCTTTCTCTCTGTTCCCTCTTTCTCTTTCTCTTTCTCTCTCTTCTTCTTCGATCGATCTCCAGATCTTCAAATTTAATCGGGTATGCTTACTTATTCTGTAATTTATCTAATCTGAATCTTAATTTTTTGATTGTTATTGTTTTAATTTTTCGAATTACGTTTTAATTGACCGCACAATTCGGATTTTTTTTTTTTTTTTTGGAATTTTTAGATCTTGTTTTGTGTTTGATTGTTGGATTTTGGGGTTGATTTTGTGATTGTTATGTGTTTCAGATGATTTGTTGGAGGATTTTGATCAATGTGGATTGATTTCGTGGTGTAATTGGGGGTAACTTATTTGAGGAGTTTGTGTTAGAAATTGAGCGTAAATTAAGTTATTTGGGATTGATTTTAGGGTTTGTTTTTGTTTTAATAAGGATTTGATTAATGGCGTCACCTCCATTTACCATGGAGGATCAGACGGATGAGGATTTCTTTGATAAGTTGGTGGATGATGAGGTTGATGGCGGTGGATTTGAACCCAAGTCTTTGAATAGTGTAGGGAGTAATGATGAGCAAGCGTTTGCGAATTTGAGTATTGATGAAGTCAGTACCGCCCCTGCCACTGCCACTGGCACCGCCGTAGATAGCTTAGATAATATAGATAGTGTCGAAGGAGATTGTAGTGAAAAGGGTGGGGATGGTGATGGAAAGGTGAAAGAGTTTTGTGTCGAGGGTGGTGATGGTGGTGTCACTGGAGTTTTTGAAGCAGTGGATCGAGAGTCTAGTGACCTTGGTGTTGGGGGATATAGTGAATCTGATTCAAGGGTTTGTGGGAATGGTGCAAATGTCAATGTGGGGGTTAAAGAAGTGCAATGGAGTGCACTTAGTGATGTTACACAACAGGTTGCATACGCGGATTTCTTTGATCAAATAGGAGATGATTCAGAGGATCCTTTTGGTGAAGTGACCGATGGTTTTGTGGTTGCATCAGGGAGTTTGGACGGTGTTTCATCTAATCAAGTTACCTGTTCAACTTCATATAGTCTTGTGCATAATGGAGAAGATACACAGCATGCTTCGTCTATGGCTACATCAGGTTCTTTGGATGGTGTTTCATCTATTCAAGCTACTAGTCCTAGTTCACATAGTTTTGGGCATAATGGAGAAGATACGCAACATGCTCCGTCTATGATTTCATCAGGAACTTTGGATGGTGTGTCATCTAATCAAGCTACTTCTTCAGATTCATATAGTCTTGTGCAAAATGGAGAAGCTATGCCGCATGCTTTGTATGCAGAAAGTGAACAAGGGATGCCAGACCAATATAGTGTTCAATATTGGGAGAGCCTATATCCAGGTTGGAAATATGACCCGAATACTGGACAGTGGTACCAGGTTGATGCTTCTAGTGCCAATGGCCTGTCTACATATGAGGGGGCTGCTGCCAATCCGATATCTGATGTTTATTCTCTTCAGCATACAGCTCATTCAGTATCTGGGAGTATGCCCGAGGAAAGTACAGCAGGCACCTCTTCTTGTTGGGATCCGGCTGCTTTTGGAAACATTGAGTATCCTGCACACATGATTTTTGATCCACAGTATCCTGGTTGGTACTATGATACAATTGCACTAGAATGGAGATCACTAGAGTCTTATATTTCATCGATCAACAAGTCAAATATATTGGATCAAAACCGACAAATGTCTTATGGGAGTGCTAGTACAGTTAATTACTACCCTGAACAAAATATAACCTATGGTCAGGGCGAACAAGTCCATAACAATTCTTACGAATTAAAGCAGTCAGTGCATTGGAGAGATTCTGGGAAGGACACTTTGAATACGATACAACCTGTTAATAGTGAGGCCTTCAGTTCTACTGGAAGCACACAGTATGGAAATGGATTTTTATCAAATGGTGTTGCTAATTACTCAACAGAGCATAGAGTAGGTGCTGCACCATACGAAAAATCATTTCAAAATGGACAATCAAGACAGTTTTTTGATAACAGTAATGAGGTTAACAGATCTCAAGGCGTTGGAATTGGTGAAACCGGTTTTCCAAACTTTGTTTCTGCTGGAAACTCTCAGCCACACAATGGTCATTTTAATACATCTGATCAACAGTTCTCTGCTACTGGCTTCAATGGTCCAAATGTCCTCAATTTTACTCAGCAGCCACTTCAAAATGGCAAATTATCTTATTCTTCCAGTGAGGGGAGGTCACCAGATGGACGACCTCCACATGCTCTTGTCTCTTTTGGATTTGGCGGAAAACTTATAGTCATGAAGGATCAGAGTAGTTTACTTACACAGCCAGCATATTCAAGTCAGGTAAGATTTTTTTATATGGTTTCCTCAAATCAGTTATTGATTTTACCGCGTCACTAGGTTATAAAGGAAATGATAATTTTCTCAAGGTTCTTTCTATTTGATGTGAAGGACTCAGCAGGAGGTGTCATCAGTGTTCTTAATGTGATGGAAGTAGTCATGCCGAAGAATGATGGTTCAAATGTTGGAATTGGTGATTGTGAATATTTTCACACCCTATGCCAGCAATCATTTTCAAGCCCACTGGTTTCAGGCAATGTTGGAAACAAAGAGTTGAATAAATGGATTGATGATAGAATTGCAAGTGGTAACACCCCAGATGCAGACTACAGGGACGGTGAAGCTTTAAAAATGCTTCTCTCTTTGTTGAAAATAGCGTGTCAATATTATGGGAGGCTACGGTCAGCTTTTGGGACTGACCATAGTGTGAAGGTAGCATTTTTTTAGCTATTATATGGTAATCAATAACTTTATTCTGTTCTTGAAAATGAATTTTCCAAGCTTGTGTGAACAAGGATCTTTGTATGTGGTGGTCTGCTTTCCTCTGTACCTAGCAAGAAAATTATGCTTTTGAAGTCTTTGGTATGGATGGTCTAGATTTAGCGGTAAAGCAGGATTCATATTACAAGAACCCTTCTTCTAATATTGAAATGAGTGAATTCTGGGTGAGCCAGCATTACCAGCTACAAAATTACTCCTCATATGCGACTTTTCCTTTTCTGGAATGAGAATCCATTAGTTTGGATGCTTTGTTATCAAAAACACCTACCCCTGAAATTCTCATTTATTGATTTGGGAATTAGTTAGTGTGGATTTATACACTCTTGTGAGACATTATAACTTGGTTAACATATATATATAGAAATAAGTTTTAGTGTAAGCTTGTGCTTATCAGCTCTTGTTTGCAGCTTCTATTTAGATAATCACTCATGAAAATTTGGCATAACACAAACTTTGTTCCTGTTAGTACGTGAATATTAGTCAATTAGTGTCTAAATTCATGTCAGGTGTTAATTGGCAGTTCAAGTCATTGGAGTTTGATTTTTTTAAGGTGTCCAAGTTTGAGTTTATATTAGTGCTGAGTTATGAGTTTTCTTTGACTAGGAAAATGACTCCCCAGAGTCCGCATTGGCAAAGCTTTTTTCATCTGCAAAGAGAAATAGTGCACAGTTCACTGCCATCTCCCAGTGTTTGCAGAACATGCCTTCCGAGGGACAAATGAAGGTATATCATCTTTCTTTTTGGCTATGAGTTCTTGTGTTATGATTGTCAATGTGGTTTTTAGCTAATTTGTTTTGCTTCAGGCAACGGCTGAAGAAGTGCAAATGCTTCTTGTATCTGGTAGAAAGATGGAGGCTCTTCAATGTGCACAGAATGGTCATTTGTGGGGACCAGCTATTGTTATTGCCACTTTGCTTGGTGAACAGGTTTTAATGATGCAACAGCTTACTTCCATCACAGAATGAATGGATTAATGTTGTTCAAATTTGAGACGAATGACTATTATACCTGATTTTTGTTTTAATTGAACACTCGCAGTTTTATGGTGAAACCGTGAAGCAAATGGCTCTTCACCAGTTGGTAGCTGGATCTCCTCTGAGGACTTTGTGTCTCTTAATTGCTGGACAGCCTGCTGAAGTATTTTCCACTTCTATTCCAAGCAATGCACAAAATGGAGTTGATGCTAACTTATCAGGGGTAATATGCCTATTTCTTTTGTATTGAATCATTTTTCTAAATTTAAAGACAGTAGCTGCCTGTATTGGTTGGCTTTTGCCTTCAAGTTTGTGTTTTAGAACCTTGTTGAGGAATCACGCAGAATGTTGCCGGTGTACCTGG